AAATAATTGAAACTGTATTATATCACCAAGTCTGACTGTGTTCATTCAATTTTATATCCGTGACATAATTGGATAAAAGGCCACATAATGATAGTTTCACTTTACATGTTCATTAAGCTGTAGCGTGGTGCAATTTAAGACTTTAAGTGAAGTCAGTCAGGAACTCCATTTAAAACTTAGCATTGTTGGGGCTGTTGATTTTTAGCTGTTTGTTCTTTCATTCTACTGAACCCACTGGATGCCAAGAAACAACCATTAAAATAAGATATTTTAGTTGATGCATGAGGAAGACACAGAGTTTCTGGTCTTCCTGCGGGGACACCCTGCATGTCATGTGGTCTAATTTAATGCATACTATTTCAACCACATGCACACACACAAACACACATGGCCGCACACACCGTAGACAGACAGACATGCTTGTCAGCCACGCTGGAGGGCCCTTGGCTGACTGCTGCTAAAGCAGCCCTTCCCCCACAATAAGGGTCTGTCTGGGAGAGGGGGAAGGGAAATCATGACTGTCTGAACACCAGACAGGCAGCGTACAGCACAACAGGCAAGAGCAGAATAATATAAAACAGAATAAGAGAGCAGTTCCCGGGATGAAGCTCTGGAAAATTCAGCTTATGATAAATGCAGACTTTCAAGAAAGAGCCTTTATCACAGCTATCCCTCATCATCCAGCCAAGTAAAATGACCCCAGTATGCATGCAGCTTTTATTAACCATGTAAATTTGCAACATTTTATTCTTCAGCAGGAATAAATTTGGAGCAATTAGACAAACCTAAGCAGCCAACATAATTGGCTACTCAGGAAGCACATTAGTACCGAAACAGTGCTGTTAGTCATGAAATGGTGAACTGCTCACCTCTATCACTTTAGCTGGCATAATAAGGCTGGTACACTACCTGTGTTATGTATAGATATATTAATGGTGGCCCCCTGCTGTGACGCTTCATCTGGTCAGTGTAGGTGATCTTTTTCGTGTTGGATTACAGGCTTCAGATGACTCTATGAAAATTGACTACAAGGGGGGGAGGTGGGTGTGACAGAGGATGCAGGCGGCGCATTTTTATTTTATCAGCAGATGCTCTCCACCGCATCATCCTCTGAATCCTCAGGATAAAGCCCCCTTGCATCCATTCTGTATTTATGATGTAGTCTGGCTGTGTTTGTGAGGGTTCGCATTGACTAAAATATATATCTATAATTTATTAATTTGGGGGGTAGTCTGTGATCTTATAAACGGGTTAATGCATGTGATTTCTAGTTCAGGTAACAGTTTGGGCAGTCTGTTTACTATAAATGGCACTAACCTGTTTGCTGATGATACTCAGCATCAAACTGGTTTTATGTTATGCATAATACATTTCCTCCCTTACCCTTAAAGGCCACAAATGAATGTTTCATAGCTGTTTAAATAGATACATTAAGCTTTTCATGTGGTTTCATCCTGGTGTGAAGAAGAGCTCTACAGAAGCTGTGTAAACTTGCCATTTCTACACAATGTCATGTCATGCAGGCATTATATCATCAATATGGGACATCCAGGTCTCAGAGCAACACTCCTCCTACTAAGACACATTTGGAATGCATGATGTAGACTTAAGCCTTATGGGGGCTTAACATGAAAAAATATATGTCACCATAGGGTTAAAATAATCTTATTGATTTTTTTCTGTCTGAGTCCATATAAATGCATCTATTTCTGGGCTCCACGGTGGAGTTGTATAAGCTTCCCAAAGGCTTTACTGAATAGAGTCCATCTCAAGTCTATAGAGAGAGGAGACCTGCTGTAAGACTCTTACACAGTCAGACCTGTCTATTGGACTGGAACTGGGTAGAAGAGTGTGTCTTTTCTAGCTCAGTGATGAGCTTCTCAAAAGCTTTGTGGCAGATCTGAGGCCCTTTTATACTTAAAATAGAGGACAGTGTTCTGCGATGTTAAAAAGTATGAAGATAGATGCTTAGACATGGATATCACTTACTCAATGTGATTTTTTTTCGGAGGGGATGCACCTTTCTTGTTAGTGAGTATGTGCAAAGCCAAGTTTGTATTACTCAAACAACAAGCTAATACATGAATAATAGATATATGAACTTTCAAATTCAGTTGCATAATTAGCTATTGTAGCTTTACTGTACTTGTCTTGATCTGTACTCTGCCCCTATGTGTGTCTGTGAAGATACAGTATAATACTAATGCTTATCAATGCACAAAAGTGGTTCATTTCATTTAGAGTTAAATGCTGTCCACACTGACATATTATGTGAACAAATGTATCACCTTCTTTCCTTCTGCTAAGGTCAAAAGAGAGACAAAAAGTTGAAGAATGAATAAGAGAGCTGCAGAGTTTCAGTTCCAGCTGATATTTATTTCCTTCCTTGAAAAAGTCTGTACACAAGTTTATATCAACAATCTGACAGGCAGTGAATGGACACAATTTAGCTGGCATGAATTTCCCCCCTTTCTCTGATTCTCAAACAAAGGGGGGTTCCTTTGTTTATGGCATGATTAAAGACAATAAAATGATAATTCTACACAGCATATTGCACAGGATGGATGAAAAATAAAGTCAATATATTTAAAAATGCTTTCATATATATATAAAAAAGGAGTCCTGAACTGACCACCTTAAATGTAAGTAAGGATGTGTAAAAGATAGCAGTTCTAGACAGTGCCTGTCCTCGATAGCAACAACGTACATAAACACACAATCTTTTTGCTTTATGATACAGTCAAATATACAAAGATCGAGTTCACGTTTCATCGTTTTTCCTCATTTTTTCATTTTTTCTGAAAAACACAACAGCTAGTAACCTGAATCTGAAATACAAATGCTATTCACCATGCCATAAAGATACTAAAACAATTATTAGCTAATAGTTAGCCGACAAGTAGAAAAGATTATATATTCAAATACAATGAGAAACGCAGTACAAGTAGGTGTTGCGGAACTCAAGTCAGAAATTTGAATATGCTTGATGTTATCATCCTTGTTGTTTGCTTGCTGTATTATTCTGTTCAGTCCAGTGGTTGATTGGCAAATTTGACATCAGTTAATGAAAACATCAAGAAATAAGTCAAATTTAAAGCTACAATCTCCTCAGTTGTTGTCATAGGCAAAATGTCTGAAGGGAAATGGAAATGCAGGTGGCTGCTTGAGATAGTGATGCTGATAAACCCACATGGTCCAACAGGAAGAGCCGTAGAAATAATGCATTCCTGTGTCTTTAAGGAGCCTGCAGACTGGCACTGTAAACGTAGAAGGTAGGTTGATACAAAGACTGGTGTTGCTTTCAAGTGCTGTCGGAAAATCGTAATTGCATCCTTATAACTCTGTGGTTAAATATCTCTGGCCTGCACTGAAAAAACGGGATGTTCAGGGATTAGACATCAGAGAACTCCTGTCAGTATTTGCTGGTTTAAGTCAAATAAAGTAAGCCAAATTCGTAATTAAATACATAATTTACATCCCTGATTCATGTTTTCCTCTCTGCTCAGGCTCTCCAGCAAAATAGCTTGATGCCTTTAATTTCTTAAATTAAGCAATAGGCACCACAGTGATACAAGGTCTGTTTTGCTGGCTGTCCTTACAAAAGCATTTGAACAGTCTTTAAAAAAAGAAAAAGAAAAAAAGAAACATGAGTACGAGTTTTTCATGAGCACTTGAAGGCAGCATAAAAACCAGCCTGCCTGGGTACTAAAAATTAGGAAATCCCATACAGCTGTATTTGTAGGCTACACACACCGATTGTTGACTCCCCCATTTTCTATATAGATTTGTACAAAAATACACTGAGAAAATAATCAAACTGTTTCCTCTCTTTTAAGTGTCCAAAAAGTGTGTACATTTAAATATAAAATGAAATCAAAAGTTGTGTTTTTAAAACTCTAGCCCTTCGCCTGAGAAGGAAATGTGACAGACACAGACATACTGACAAACAACCGTGTAAGAAAAAAAACAAAACAGGACTAGATCATGTATACAAGAAATTAAAAAAATGATCAAGTCAAAAATGCTTGGCCCAGTATATAAATACCTACAACATCCCATATAAAATGGCATCTGGATACATGTACAAAACAAAAGCTCAGAGGATGAAAAACATCGGTGAGGATTTCTCTATAGCTATCATCTGAAATTAAAGACTTTTGGTCCTGAATCAAAGAGAACACGTGTATAAAGTTCAGCACAGATTTGAAGTTGCGTTTGAGTCCTGAAGTTTGAAAAATTACAACAGCTGGTGATTATTTCAATGTCCTTTTTTAAAAAGAGAAGAACCGAAAGCGAGCGCCACCTATCCATTTAAATAACCTAATACTAGTTTTAAACTGCTCGACAGTCTCACAGAAAATCTCAGCACAAGATAGGAACAAAGTAGGCTATCATGCGTAACATGTTTTTTGCTTTTGAGAAAATATTCGACTTTTAAAAAACATCAACCCACCTCGGTTTCATTAAAAATCCCTCTCGGTGACACACCACAATAAAAAAATGTCGCACGACAGTCCTATTTATGTACCTTTTTAGTGGTGAAGTTCACTTGGCGATTGGTAAAAAGTTGTGAAATGTCCCTTTTTTTTTAAATCAGCAACAACATTGATTAAGTGAACGGCGGACCGCGTAACGTGCAAATCAATCACAGTTAAGTTGTTCAGTTCAAAAACAGTTCAGGGCTGAGTGTTTGTTTCTCTGTCAGGAAACAGTCAGTCTCTCCTTTCTCTCCTTCTCGTTTGCACTCCCTCCAACCAAAGTCCCTCAGTCCACGCATCCGAAGAAAAGTACAAAAAGCAACTTATTCGCTTTAAAGTTTAGCTTTCCAACGATTTGCAGCTCTTGCCTTAAAGGGCGAGAGGGGTCAGGGGCTAGTTTCAGTGGGGTTTTGCTAGTCTGGCGTTGTAAAACACGAACTATTACGCCCACCGAAGCATACCAGGAACTCCTGTTCTGTTTGTGGTCATATTTTTTGCTACCTGTCGCCTTTTTTGCCTCACTCAGTACGTGAACACCAAGTTGGAGATGGTGGACTCCAGCCAGTCCCCGGAGATCATCTCGCTGACTTCGGGCGTGCAGTAGTCGGGGAACTCGAAATGTGAGCCCCCGGACCCGGACTCAAAGTTTAAATCCAAGTCTCTGTCTAGCACAGAGGAGCCAAAGCTCCCGAGCGACATGCTGTCAAAGTTAGGGCTCGGGTTAATGTCGAGCAAGTCGTCCTCGAACTCTTCATCCTCTGAAGAAGAGGAGGAGTGGGACGAGGCAGAGGAGTGGGAACCGGAGGGAGTCGGGGAGGAAGCCCGCCGACTGCTGTATGTGTGCCCGCCGTGTCGGTCCGAAGACCCGCCCAGGCTGCCGTTGCTGCCGGGGGAGGCGGCCCCCTCCTCCCTGCCGCTGGCCGCGTCTTCATAGAGGCTGAGCGGGTCGCTGGAGTCCGCCGAGCTGCTGAGTGTTGGGCTGGCGGGGACCACGACTGAGGACGCGGGGCTGACGCTCAAGCTGGCCCCGCTGCTCCCGAACACGTAGACCCGCTTGGGCTTCTTGCCTTCCGGTATCTGTTTGGCTGCTGAGGAGACGGATTTGGACTTGTAGAGAGAGTTGTGGTGGTGCTCTGACTGGTGCTCAGAGGCAAACGGTGATGCTTTGGTGCTACTGCTGCTGCTCCCGAAAAGTGATTTGTGGGGTCTGCTGCTGCTGGGTGATTTGGATCCACTCTTCCTCGAAGATGAGGATGACTTAGTGCTGGTGTTGTTGGAGCTACTGTTGAGTTTCTCTGCCTTGTCTCCGCTGCTGCCGGGCTTGGAGGCGCTTGATTTTACCTTCTTCCTCGGCCGGTACTTGTAGTCGGGGTAGTCCGCCATGTGCTTGAGTCGGAGCCGCTCCGCCTCTCTGATGAAGGGGATCTTGTCGCTGTCTCTGAGCAGCTTCCACCGCTTCCCCAGCCTCTTGGAGATCTCAGCGTTGTGCATGTCCGGAGACTGCTCCATGATCTTCCTCCTCTCGATCTGGGACCACACCATGAACGCATTCATGGGTCTCTTGATGTGGCCGCTTGGAGTTTTACACCATGCCGGGTTGTCTCCTAGTTTGTCCCCGGACGTGGAGGAAGCCGTGGAGCCCGGGGAGAGAGGCGATGCGGCCGGGTCCAGGTCCATGCACGCCCCGGAGTCGGAGCTCGAATCCCCGGCGAAGAAGGACAGCGCCTCGGCGGTGCTCTCTGTGTGGCTCATTTTCTGCACCATGCTTCCCGGTGGTACACACAGAGGGAGAGCGGTGTGCTTGCTCTTTCTCTCTCCCTCTCTGCTTGGTCCTCTGATTCACTTTAAAGCAGACTCAGCTCTTTTTCTCCTCACTTTGAGCTGAGTAAAAAGCGCATGAAATAATTAACTCCTGAGATGTGAAGTAAACTCGGTTACAGTTCAGTCCAGTGTAGCCTTAAAAAGGCTAAATGAGTGGAAAAAAAGTTTAATTTCCAGGATCTGGAGGTGCTAGAAGAGCGCAGACAGCACAGTCTACTCTCCTCTGAGTACTCTGTTATCTGTCTCTGTGAGTCTCTTCCTTCTGTGTTATAAAATCAATTCAGCCGTGTGCTGACTGAACATAGTCTATGCAGCTGCAGAGCGCAGACTGAGTGCCACACTGTGCACCCAGGCTCTTACAAAGGGCTCCCGAGAACAGTGTGTAAGGTAAGTGCTTTTCTCTGCACCAGCTCTGTCCCCTCTCCTAGAAACAAAAGCCATGCATGCTGGGAAGGGTAAAAATAAGAAACCTAGAGCGAGTTATACTGTCCGCCTTCCATCTGCAGACTTGCAGTCGAGTTTCAAGCAGCCCTCCAGTCTCGGCCCCCCTTGCTTGAATTTATCCCTTCCCAGATACAACGGCGATAAAAATCCACCAATCAGACGCTGTCGCTACGCTGCCTCTGTGCCAAACTCACGCCCCCTCGCTACTGATTGGCCAAAAATGGAATCTAATAATAATCAGCGCGTGCAATGAGGAGCCTCGTGTCTGACCTCATTCCAGAATACAACAAGAAACTTCAATTTTTTTAAAGAGACACTGGCTTATGTTATGGAACCCCCGTTTCTACTCACTTACCACCAGCCCATGTGTATACCATTAACATCTAGCTATAGGAAGGTAAGTATACTTTACCATATGGAAACTTTGACAGAGTACAGTGTGTACCCATGTCGGCCAGCTAGTTCTGAATAAAAGAAAGGTACCCCCAATTAAACCTCCCTTTTTCCCCCCTGATCACACTCCGTTGTTATGAATTGTGAACACCTGTCATATAAATAGAAAAATATAGAGGCAGAACACTTACAAGTGCAATGTAGGTGAAGCAGTAGCCTTAAATGTTACCTAATGTTAATATTGTATAAAATAGGTTTCTGGTGAAACGTGAAACACTCATAGGCTGAAAGAAATTATTGTTTTCTACCATATTGGTGTGATTTAGAGATCTACCTCTACAGAAATTCGTTCATACTCAATAGTTATTTGTCGATACTTTTTTCTTAAGTACCACTCATTAATACCTACTTTCAGGTAATAACTGACCGAGGTCATGTATCACGGACACTTCGTTAAACAAGAGTACGTTCAACAGTTGATTTTTTTTTCTCTGAGCAATTCTCAAACGGGGAAATGTCTCTTGGACACATCATGATCGTTAAGCTGGTGTGAGAAAAGACTCCAAGCCAAGCTGTATGCTCTGCGCTTTCACCCCCGTCTCTCTCTCTCTCTCTCTCTCTCTCTCTCTCTCTCTCTCTCTCTCGCTCGCTCTCTCTCTCTCTCTCTGAGGCGGGGTTGGGCGGTCTTTTGTCACATAACACACATCGAACCAACCGCTCTCCAGCACACCAGACAGAGAAACGCGAGGGAGGCAAAGAAGCAGGCGGCGGTGTGTGTAAACCGCCTACGAGCACACACACACATCCGCACACCTCTGAACTGACACAGAGTGCAGTTTTCCGTGGAGTGTGACAAACAAGACGAGACTGGGTAGAAAAACTCATGGCATTGCGCTTTTACGCACACGATGTCCGTTTTACAACAGAGAAATTAGCTCTAGTGATCAAGACTATAAACACATGACAGAAGCTGCCATAAATAAGTGCAGCGCGGAATTTTTTACCATGTATTTTTCATTTTGTCTGTTGGTTTTATCACAAACACGCACAAAATAAGTGTTATACAATATGGATCCTCAAATTTTCATACAATTCCATGTTTATTTTATTATCCTTGGCAACGATAACGCATCCACACCAGACAGAAGTCGCTAACAGGTTCTGTTTTTTTTTTTTTTTTATGAGATGCCTGTTCCCCTTAACAATCTGTAGCATGGTTAGAAATGTGACAGCATGTGTGAGGAGAGCTAAACAGACTCAAACTAGAAGGCAGATGACTGCGGAGTGGTGTTGGATTATCGCTAGATGGCGTCGTAGAGCCGGTTAGCACTCAGCCCGGCTGAGCTGCTGAGAATTTAGGCAGGGTAACAGAGATCAGAGCGAGCATCCAGAACAGTAACCAGGGGTGAATTACATAATGTCTCTGTGCAATAGAGAGGCATCCAAGCGATACTGTGGTGCAGTTTGTGTGTGAGAGAGTGTGTGTTGGGTATGTAAGAGAATGTGAAAGGAGCTGTGTGTAAAAGTAAGGCATGAATGTCTTAGAGTAGAAAAGGATGATGAAAAGAAATGAGGAGGTAAAAGCGATTTGTAGTTGGTGAAAAAAAAAATGTCAGTTCAAAATAATTTACCTCTAATAATTTCAGGTTCAAACAGAGTACACCTCTGCCCATGCAAGTGCTGTATAAATAAGAAATGAAAGTAGCTCTGTGATAGAGTGGAGGGTCTGTAATAGAAAGAGAGATGGTCAGATGTTCTGTATCTAAATGAAAGGAGAGTCAGAGGTGACTCGATCACCGCTGGGAAATTAGTATGAAAGTATCGTCACCAGCGTTTCTGGATGCATTTCACCGGCTACAATTATATTCAATATGGCCTCATATCTGCAGTGCATCCAAGTAAAGCAACGGGTAATTGGGCTCCAATTTGTGTGTTCATGGAGCAGAACTGCAATGGAAATAAGAATGTTAACTCATAAACTCACAGTGCTCCTCAGTGCCACTTTAATAAGGAACTGCAGAGAAATGCTAAAGCGAGGCTTATGTTATATGAAGAGCATTTCTGCCTTGATCAAACAACTCTGACACACTAAATTCAAAGATACATATTTAAATAAAAAAAAAAAATCATAAAGGTCATATCATGGTTCATTTCAGCTCAAACAGATGTCCAAAATTGTCCCTTCTTCCCTTTTCCCCCTGTGCACCTGGAGTGACAGCTGGCAGCCTTTTTAAGCTAACACCTTATTGACTACCTTGAGCAGGTGTCCTCTATTCTGCTCTACTTCTCCTACTCTATTCTACAACCCAAAGATAAATAAGACCTTTCACCTAGTTTGAGACTCTATAGTTAACTTGAATACACACATCTTTTTTCTTGGCTGCCCACACTTCTCTGTCTCTCTCTTTCTCTCTGTCTCTACCTCCCTCTCCTGCTCTCTGTGCTGTTGCATTAGTATGCCACACACACACAAACACGCACACACATGACCTGAAAGGATAAGTAGTGCATTCAAACTTTCCTCTCGCTTTCTCCGTCTCTCCCTTTTACTGCCATTGTTCCAGTGAGGTGCAGCTGCCACGCGAGTTGGAGTGGGTCGCGTGCCAACCCTAATCTCAACAGGTGTTCTTTTGGGTGGCTCTCGCTCAGCCCCCCTTCTCCTTTTCATTGTCTGTTCTCACTCTCTCTTTCTCTCCCTAACTCTCACCCTCTCAAGTCTCTCCCCACCCCTGTACTTCACTTTAATAACTAGTTTTTGTGCTCTCTTCCTCCTGAATTTAATTGTGCTTAATTAAAATGACCATAATTAGGTTAAATTCTGCCCACAGCATATTTTAAACACTTAATGCAAGAGGCAGATGTAAAAATAAAAGTTAATATCATTTGCAAAGTTGTGACAACTTAATTAAACCTCCAGAAACAGGTTTTTCAAACATAACATCAAAAAAATGAAATTGAAATTATGATAAGATAAGGATGTATTTTCATAAAAGTATTGACAGTAGTGAAAACCCTGTCTGAAAAGTGATAATAAAGAGAAGTCATATTTTGAAGAAGCTCAGCACAGTTTCATGATGTTCCACTACTTTTCCCTCAGGCTGCGACATGTTCTGGCACATTTCTTGCTTTGCCTCAAGTAAATATTGAATTTTGTTTTGGTCTGAGTGTGTGTCAGACTCTGGGCATGTGAGTTTTATTTTGGTATACAGCTTGGTCTCTGTCTTTTTTTCAGACTGCAGGGTATCAGGAAGTCTCGCCCCCTCTCTGCTCTCTCTCCCTCTCTCTCTATCTCTATCTCTCTCTCTCTCTCTCTCTCGTTTTCTCTCCCTCTCTCCTTTGTTGTGTTTCTCCTTCTTTTCCCTGTCTCTGTCTCATCTCAACGCTCTCTCTTCCTCTCCCCTCAGTTTAGCTCACTGTGTTTTATTGGCATAAATGTTAGATGAACAGCAGTGCTGCCAAAGCTCCCCCATCACTCTGTCTTCTCTGTACCCATCTCACTCTCTCAAGATAAATCTGATCTGAGGTCATCTGTTATTCAGAACACTGACACCATATGGTCAGCCTCCCACTCACAGAGTACATAGAGTCGGTTTCATGAAAACTTAAAATCTTCCCATATTAAATATTGATGGAACTGTACATTGGCCGGCTGTCACGAACCCTGCTTAAAGTTTAGCCTGTTAGAACTTGAATCATTTAGTACTAATCCATTTCAAAAGATGTTGACCTTTACAAGTCAACCTTTCAAAAGCCACATCTATAACACAAGGTTATATTCAAACTTAAGTTATATACACGAAACATTGGCATGAAATAAGATTGAAAGGAGAAATACAGTGTTTCCTTTCCAATTGTATAACTAACAAAAAATAATGGACCATTTTGCCCTCAGACATCATGCTACTTCTCCCAGCTTCAGGCTGACCTGTTTTGCAAAACCAAAATATCAATGCTAACCCAATATCATGCTATTCATGATACAAAGAAGTTATAAACTGTTGTAAAAGTTTGCCTTGTTTCAGGATTTTAAATGAAACTCAACAAACTCGGAGTCCCTGTGCATTCTGTCATCATCTCTAAAACACTTCATTATTTCCAGTGCATAA